TTAGAAGCATTGATTTACAATCATATTAATGAATGATTTTTTTTTTTTACTAAAGCAGATGTTCTGAATTTCTATGCGTGTGACAGAAGTTTTGTGTTCAGATTTATATTTGAAAGATACGTGAAAAGATGAGGGGTTAGGATCATTCTGCCCTTTTGCCCACTGGCAACATTTTGGATAGTCATTCTCTAATTATACATCTCCCAAATAAAATCTGAATAAGTTTTAATTTTATATGTTAGTGAACGTTTTTAACCTCTATATAAAATGTATTATATAGTGTTTCAAAAATATTTTAGTCATGTTAATTCGAACTTAAATATCCAAAATCTCTTCAGCTTTGGAGATGAATGTTATTAAAACACAACTCAAGGCCGGCACCGCAGCTCACTAGGCTAATCCTCCGCCGTGCAGTGCCGGCACACTGGGTTCTAGTCCCGGTCGGGGCACCAGATTCTGTCCCGGTTGCCCCTCTTCCAGGCCAGCTCTCTGCTGTGGCCAGGGAGTGCAGTGGAGGATGGCCCAAGTGCTTGGGCCCTGCACCCCATGGGAGACCAGGAGAAGTACCTGGCTCCTGCCATCGGATCAGCATGGTGCACCGGCCGCAGCGCGCCGGCCGTGGCTGCCATTGGAGGGTGAACCAAGGGCAAAAGGAAGACCTTTCTCTCTGTCTCTCTCTCTCACTGTCCACTCTGCCTGCCAAAAAAAACAGAACAAAACAAAACAAAACAACAACAGCAAAAACACAACTCAGGCTGCCAAAAGCTACCACAGTAGAATGATGCACACAGAGCATTTTTAACTGTGAAGGCATAAAGTTGAGCATTTGAGAAAGTATAAGGAGGTTCCAAGTAAAGAAGATTGACTGGAATGTTATCTTAAAGAATAATTACAAAGATTCTATCAATTTTTTTTAAAGATTTTATTTATTTATTTGAGAGGTAGAGTTACAGAGGGAGAGACAGAAAGAGGTCTTCCTTCCGCTCATTTACTCCCCAAATGGCCACAACAGCCAGAGCTGTGCTGATCCAAAGCCAGGAGACAGGAGTTTCTTCCGGGTCTCCCAGGCGGGTTCAGGGGCCCGAGGACTTGGGCCATCTTCTACTGCTTTCCCAGGACATAGCAGAGAGTTGGACTGGAAGAGGAGCAGCAGGGACTAGAACTGGTGCCCATATGGGATACTGACACCGCTGGCAAAGGATTAGCCTACTGTGCCACAGTGTCAGCCCCAAGACTATAAGTTTTAATTAATCAGAACATTTTTACTTCCCTGAGATATTTGAACCAATTAGATCATAAGATAGTTGGGTTTTAACTTATATAGGTGGACCATTTGAAGAGATGACCTGATTTTTTTAAAAATTATTTTCTATTTATCTGAAAGGCAGAGTTAGAGAGAGAGAGAGAGAGAGAGAGAAACAGAGAGAGAGAGAGAGAGGTAGAGAGAGGTCTTCCATCCACTGGTTCACTCCCCAAATGGCTACAATGGCCAGGGCTTGGGCCAGTCCAAAGCCAGGAGTCCAAAGCCTCCTCGGGTATCCCGTGTGGGTGCAGGGGTCCAAGGACCTGGGCTATCTTCTGCTGGCTTCCCAAGAGCATTAGCAGGGAGCTGGGTCAGAAGGGGAGCAGCCAGGTCTTGAACTGGCACCCATTTGGGCAGAGGCTTAACCTTCTATGCCACAATGCCAGCCCCAATGACCTGGTATTTAGTTCTACATAAAGGAGGTAAACAAAAAATCTTATGCTAGATAGTGCTCCTAGACCATGAAGTATTTTTATGTGGGTCCTGAGGATTTGTGCTAGTCCTGAGGCACTGCTGAGACTTGCCCCAAGTTCACTTTTCAGTCAGTTCATAGGTGTCGCTCCCCCTCTTCGTGGAGGAATGACACAGGACCCTGCGCTGTTCTTTTGTCTGCTCGGCCCTCCCCGGGTTTGCTGCTGGTTCTTCCCGGGTTGGCTACTGTCCCTTCCACCTCCGTGGAAGGGCGGTTCCCCCTGGCCACTTTCCCCACTTCCGCAGGGGAGCGGCACTCCGCCGGCCGGCTCTCTCGGGGGCTGCACAGGTGTTCCCCTTAGATGTTCCTCTTAGATGTTCCCCTTAGATGTTCCCTCTTAGATGTTCCTGGTGCATGCCGTCTCTCTCCTCCTTTATAGTCCTCCTCCGCCAATCCTAACTCGGCTGCCCACACGCCGAGTACGCTGCTCTCCTCCAATCAGGAGTAGGTCCTACAGTTTATTGGCTGAACTGGAGGCAGCTGTGTAGAAGCTGTTTTCTTCTCTCCCAGCACCATATTGTGGGAGAGCAGATGCATAGAATAAGTCTTAATTCCGGTAACTTAGTCTAGTCCGAGTTGCTCCCCACACATAGGTTTGAAATGTTCTGTGTTCTCCACTCTCTACTGGGTGAGCATCAGAGTTTGGTAAGGATTCTACACTACTCAGGTCTAGGGTGCCTTGGAGGTGGTTGCCCTAACTTCCTACAGAATGCAGAGATTTCTGCAGTAATATGATGCTTCCATTATAGATTCAATCCTTGTCCAAGCCCTACATACTGTCAGTTGCATTAGGATTGCATTTGTCATTCGCGAGTTGAAGGATAGGGCATTGCTGTGTCCTCTCTAGCAGTAGAAGAGTGGAAAGACCCAGTCATATCTATTAGGTATATATAGTGTATAGGTAAACATACCCGTAGATAAAGGTGTAGCCTCTTTGATTTCTTTTCTTCCTTCTTTTGAAATATTCTCTCATTATTTACTGTTTTATTTCTTTGTTTACATTTGGTGACTTACAAATATTGGGATAAAGAAATGAATAATGATAATGAGGAATATGTAACCTCATAGAGTTGTTATGAAACTTAAAGGATTGCATGTATAGAATGTTTAACACAGTGCATGACACATAGTAAGTGTTTAATAAATTCTGCCAGTATGGTAATGGTAATGATCTCTAATATAAGTCTTTTCCTGTTAGATTAATAGGGAAGATAACTGTAATTAACACAAGGCTGAATGAAATAACTACCACAGTAGAGAGAGAAATAAAGTTCTTATTTATGCTAATAAAGGAGCAATTAATTTCAGTTGGAGAATTGGAAGGGGGAATTTTTCCTCCTGAACTTTGAAGTGTGAATAGGATTCCTTATAGAAAAGGGAAAGGGGTGGTAGTCTAGTTTGAGGGGTAGCATGAGCAAGACTGTGGAGCTAGGAAGGTGTGTGGCTGGATTCATAGAACCTTCCACAGTCCTGTGTGATCCAGGGGCTGGGTATGTGGTACATCTGGTGGAAAGTAAGGGTGGGATATAGAGAAGTCAGCCTGCTGAGAACTCTGAAAACAATAATGGGAAGTGTGTATTTTATTCTAGAGGCTTTGGGTAATATTTGTAGGTCTGAGCAGAGGAAGTAATTATACTGCCAAACAGATATGCTTATTGTATACGGATAATTAGTGGCTCCTGTCAACTTAAAATTTGACTGAAAGGGCCAATGAAAAGTGTACAGTGAGCGAAAATGGTTGCTGTAGTCTAGGGTGTGAAGTAAAAACTGTTGGTACTTGTGGAAGCATGAGTCTTTCAGAGTAAGCCTTAGGAAACTTTTGTAAATACATTTGGAGCTTTTCATACTTAAAGGATTAAACAAATTTATTAGACAATAGCCTTCTTTCTCAAAGAATCTTAATCTCTACCTTGGGAGAAGGATTGGGAACGTATGTGCATGGAAAAAAAGGATGGGGCCCTCTGGCTGCCTTCTCATGTGATTGAAGATAGACTTACCTTGGGAAAATGGGCTGGTTTTCGGCCTGAAGGGAGAGCTGTAAGCATATTTTAAAACTGAGCACTTGACTTCTATTTTTAAGTTTCTGAAGATAATTTTATGACACAGGGAACTGGCTTTTAGGGATGAATCTGATGTGTGCAGACTTTAGCATTGCCAATATTCCTTCTCTTTTTAAAAAGATTTCTTTATTTGAAGGGCAGAATGACAGAGGGAGAGAGAAATTTTCCATCTGCTGATTCACTCCCCAAATGTGCACAACAGCTGTGGCTAGTTGAGACCAAAGGCAAGAGCTGGGAACTCTGTCCAGGTTTTCTATATGGGTGGCAGCAATCCAAGTACTTGGTTCAGTATCTGCTGCCTCACAGGTGCATTAGCAGGAAGCTGGGTCAGAAGCAGAGCAGCTAGAACTCAAATCGGCGCTCAGACATGGGATATGGGCTTCCCAAGCTGTGACTTACCCTGATGTACCATAATGTTTGCCTGAATATTTTGTGTTTTTGATATGCAGTGATTTGACTATCCCTGAAGCTTTTCTTGTAATTTTTTTTTCTGATTCTTGTGGAGCTTCTTGCATTTCTGCCACTTATGACTCCAAATAATTCAAGCATCCTGGTTGGAGAAATTTTTAGGAAGGAGGCCTGATTAGGAAATAGAGACTGGTTGACGACTGGTGAAGTGAGAATTTAATTCGAGCTTACAACACTGTAGTTATTGGCTGGATGCAGTGACCAGTGAGTTACTCCTTTTATATTGTGGCGTTGGCCTCTTTTTCTGGTTGTATGGATTACCTAGCACATAACTTAAACAAGCAGTGGGAGTGTATGTATGTAATAACTGCTGGGTTTTTGTTGGTATGAGATGGACTTTGCAGGTATTTTTTGGTGGCAAAAAGCAAATTGCTACTTAGTTTGTGTTTCAAGGAGTACCAATGCTGTCCCACAGGTATATAGTACTCATGTAACATTTCTACTTCTCAGAAATATTTCATTTCTGTTGTTGTTTCATGCCAAGAACAACCTGGTATATGGTATATAGACAGAACAGGTTTGATTCCATTCTGGTACAAAGTGGATGATGAGACCTAAATAAGAGACTGAGTTATAGTTTCTGACTCAACAAATAAATGGCTGGGATAACCATTTCATATATGGACACTAGCTTTCTGAAAAAGCTTTCTTCTAGGAAGAATAAGGCTGAATGCTGTCTCCTTCTGTTACATTTTAGCGGCGTCTTCGACATCTTCGGAACATCGCTGCTCGGAACATTGTTAATAGAAACGGCCATCAGCTCCTTGATACCTACTTTACACTTCACTTGTGTAATACTGAAAAGATATATAAAGGTAAGGAGACCTGGGGGCTTGCTCTCCAGACTGTTGATCTCATTTTACTTTTCCTGTAACGTGAGTTATTCTCAGTGTTTCCTGCTATTCCTCTTTATGGGAAAGCTAAATTGTCATGCTGTCCGAAAATATCTCATGAGCAGTTGTTATGTATATTGAAGAAGCATGGCTATTGGATAGTTCTTTCAGATAACAGAACCTTATGTTGATAAGTTTATAATTTCTTTATGAATGTTAACTGTTAATATTCCAGAAGCTAGCATTTTTTTTAAAGATTTATTTTATTTATTTGAAAGAGTTACACAGAGAGGTAGAGAGAGAGAGGGGTCTTCCGTCTGCTGGTTTACTCCCCAAGTGGCCGCAATGGCCAGGGCTAAGCCTGGCTGAAGCCAGGAACTTCTTCCGTGTCTCCCACGTGGGTGGCAGGGGCACAAGTACCTGGGCCATCTTCCACTGCCTTCCCAGGTGCATTAGCAGTGAGCTGGATCGGAAATGGAGCAGCCAATATTCGAATCCGCACACCACAGCACGGGCTCCTGATTCATTCATTCTTTTTTTTTTTTTTTTTTAAGATTTATTTATTGATTTGAAAGGCAGAGAGGCAGAGGCAGAGAGATTTTCCATCCGCTGGTTGACTCCCCAGATGGCCCTTAACAGCCAGGGCTGTCAGGCTGAAGCCAGGAGCTGGGAGCTTCATCTGAATCTCCCACACAGGTGCAGGGGCCCAAGGACTTGGGCCATCTTTTACTGCTTTCCCAGGCCATAGCAGAGAGCTGGATCGGAAGTGGAGTAGCTGGGACTTGAACTGATGCCCATATGGGATGTCAACCCTGCAGGCGGTGGCTTTACCCACTATACCACAGCGCCAGCTCCTCATTCATTCTTAAACTTGGGATTTTTATAAAATCAAATTTGTTCTTCAGCCATAGTTGTGTTCTTACCCTTGAAATGAAGTGTCTTTCCTCCCCTGGCATGCCACTTAGCATAAATATTTCAGAAGAGGAACTCTATCTGAGGAGTCTTCAAAAAGTTTGTGGAAAATGTGTATTATTAAAAACCTATGCATGAGGCCGGCACCGCGGCTCACTAGGCTTATCCTCTGCCTAGCGGCGCCGGCACACCGGGTTCTAGTCCCGGTCGGGGCGCCGGATTCTGTCCCGGTTGCCCCTCTTCCAGGCCAGCCCTCTGCTGTGGCCCGGGAGTGCAGTGGAGGATGGCCCAGGTGCTTGGGCCCTGCACCCCATGGGAGACCAGGAAAAGCACCTGGCTCCTGGCTCCTGCCATCGGATCAGCGCGGTGCGCCGGCCGCATCGCGCTGGCCGCGGCGGCCATTGGAGGGTGAACCAACGGCAAAGGAAGACCTTTCTCTCTGTCTTTCTCTCTCTCACTGTCCACTCTGCCTGTCAAAAAAAAAAAAAAAAAAACCTATGCATGAATTTAAAATTCTTTTGCACCAAAATAAAGTTATCTCTTAATTCCATTTTCCATGCATTTTTTGAAATGTAATACAATTTGGTGATCTCATTGAGGTTTCAGTAGTTTCAAATATTTTCCATTGAGCTTTCCTTTGAACTCATATATCCAGTTGCCTATTCTACATCTTCATCTGGAGTTTTAATAGTTTTTATTTATTTGTTTTTTTGAAAAGTAGAGAGTGGACCTGGAGGGGGAGAGAAAGGGAGATAATTTCTTTCAGCTGCTTCGCTCTCCAACCAAAGCCAGGAGCCAGGAACTCAAACCAGGTCTCCCACGTGGGTGGCAGGGATCCAACCACTTGAACCATCAGCAGCTGCCTCCCAGGGTCTGCATTATCAGGGAGCTGGAAGCAGGTGCTGAGCGGAGACTTGAACTCAGGTGCTGTGATCTGAGATGTGGGTATCCCAAGTGGCATCTTAACCGCTGTACCATGCATCCAGCCCTGATAACTTAATCTCCGATGTTCAAAGTGGAGTTTCTGATGTTCCAGCTCTGACCCACCTCCTATTTTCTTTATTCTGTTAGAAAATAGCAACTGTATTTCCTTGACTAAAAATCCTGGCGTCCTTGATTGTCTTCTTTCTCTTATACCCCACACCAAATCTTTCAGCAAATAATTTTGACTCTTCTTTTAAATCAAAATGTCTCCATATGTGGCCCACTTCTTAATATCTCCACACCTGTGTTGACAGACTTCTAACAGATTTATCTATCCACGTAACCCTTCATTTTTTTCTCTATCAAGATCTTATTTATTTATTTATTTTTTTGACAGGCAGAGTGGACAGTGAGAGAGAGAGACAGAGAGAAAGGTCTTCCTTTTTGCCGTTGGTTCACCCTCCAATGGCCGCCGTGGCCAGTGCGCGCTGCGGCCGGTGCACCGCGCTGATCCGATGGCAGGAGCCAGGTGCTTATCCTGGTCTCCCATGGGGTGCAGGGCCCAAGCACTTGGGCCATCCTCCACTGCCTTCCCGGGCCACAGCAGAGAGCTGGCCTGGAAGAGGGGCAACCAGAACAGAATCTGGCACCCGGACGGGGACTAGAATCCAGTGTGCCGGCGCCGCAAGGCGGAGGATTAGCCTAGTGAGCCACGACGCCGGCCCTATCAAGATCTTATTAAAATGTTATTCCTCCTCAAAACCTTCCTGGGGCTTTCCATCTGATTCAGAGTAAAAACAAAAGTCCTGTTTACTTCCTGAAGGTCTTTCATGATCTCACCCACTTGGCTCTTAGAAGTCTCCTGGTGCTCTTCCCAGCTCTGTCTAGCCACATCAAGATTGTTTCAACTTAAAGGACTCTGCACTTGCTGGTTGTTCTTTGCTCCAGTTTTCTCCATGTCTATCTCAGGTCCTTATACCAAGTATTTCTCAGGCCAACTCTCCTTGATCACTGTTTTGTGACTTTTCTCCTTTCTGATTTATTTTCCTCCACTTAACTTAAGATCATTGGATACAGTGTATATTTAATTATGTGGTTAATGTATGTCTCTATCCACTAGAATGTAATAAGCTCATGAGGGCAGAACTTTTTTTTTTTTTAAAGATTTATTTATTTATTTGAAAGAGTTACACGATGGGGGGGAGAGAGTGAGAGCGAGAGAGAGGTCTTCATCCTCTGGTTCACTGCCCAAGTGGCTGCAACAGCTGGAGCTACACTGATCCACAGCCAGGAGCCAGGAGCTTCTTCCAGTTTCCCACGCGGGTGCAGGGGCCCAAAGACTTGAGCCATCTTCTACTGTTTTCCCAGGCCACAGCAGAGAGCTGGATCGGAAGTGGAGCAGCTGGGTCACAAACTGGTGCCCTTATGGGGTGCCGGCACTGCAGGTGGTGGCTTTAGCTGCTAAGCCACAGTGCTGGTCTGAGGGCAGAACTTTTTAGCTCACTTTTGCTCCTTGCACTGTCCCCAGTACCCGGAACAGTGCTTGCCGTATACTAGGCTCTCAAATATTTTTTCTTTTTAATGAGATTTTTGTTAGGTGATGCAGTCTATGGTTCCAAACATATATAAAGGCTCACGTTAAAACTGCCTTTTCACCTGTCCCCAAGTACCCTGTTTTTCCGCCTCACCCTGGTAACCACCGTGATTCTCTTTCTTGAAATCCTTTATGCAAACACAATTAAAAATGGGGATGTTCTTATTCCTTTCTGCCCTCTTCCCCACAAAAGAGTTGCGTATTATATGTATTTCTGTACTATATATTTTTCACTTAAAGTGTCTTAAAGGTTTGTCCATATCGATTCTGAAAATTCTTTTTTGCACAGTCCTGCACTGATTAGTTGAATCGTGGTTTATACTGGCTCCTATATAAGGATTTAGTCTTTTTTTTTTTTTATTTTGATTAATTTATTGATTTGATCCAATTTTCATATATTGATACAAAATTACTTCATTTTTGTCAAACTGCACAGAAGAAAACTGAAACGACTAGATTTAAGTAAATCCATGTATCGAGTTCATGATAATATACTCTTTTTTTTTAACTTTTATTTAATTAATATAAATTTCCAAAGTACGATTTATGGATTACAATGGCTTCCCCCCCATACTGTCCCTCCCACCCACAACCCTCCCCTTTCCCACTCCCTCTCCCCTTCCATTCACATCAAGATTCATTTTCGATTATCTTAATATACAGAAGATCAGCTTAGTATACATTAAGTAAGGATTTCAACAGTTTGCTCCCACACAGAAACATAAAGTGAAAAATAATAGATGATTTTTTTTTTTTGTCTTTTGCTATACACACAGTGCTACATTGAATAACTGCAGAAGTACGTTATTCTGTGTGAGTGCTAGTATGCCTATAGGGCAAGTTCCATATGGAGTTACTGGGACAAAGGGAATGTGTCCTTGGTTTTGGTAGATAAAAATGTATGAATGCTTTTTAAACACAGCTTCATCAACAGACTGTGCAAGCTTGAATTTTTGCCAATCTGATAGGTGAAAAGTACTTCTCCAGTACAGCCCAAGTTTGTATTTCACCTGTTGTGACTGAGATTGAGGCACTAATAAAGCATTTGTTGAATGAATGGAATGCTGCATGACAGCCAAAACATGCCTTGGAAGCAGGCCTTGCAATCTCCTGATTGCTTTGTTTCATTAGGTCTTAGGTAGGTACATAGAGAAGCATTTGTATCTAATGGTTCCTTTTATGTAGCAATAGGTCTTGGATATCTTATTGAAAATTTACTTGTCAAATGATTTTGCTCAAATTGAATGGATAAAAATTAATAAAATTTTATCAGTAAAATAATTTATGATGTATTTTTTTTAAAAAAGTTTTATTTATTTATTTGAAAAGAGTTACACAAATAGAGGAAGAGGCACAGAGAGAGAGATCTTCCATTCACTGGTTCATTCCTCAAATGGTCCTAGAAGCCAGGGCTGGGCCAGGCTGAAGCCAGGAGCTTGGAGCTTTACCTGGGTCTCCCACATGGGTGCAGGGTCCCAAGCACTTGGGCTGTCTTTCACTGCTCTCCCAGGCACAGCAGCAGGGAGCTGGATGGGAAGTGGAGCAGCTGGGTCTCAAACCGGCACCCTTATGGGATGCTAGCATCACAGGCAGTGGTTTTACCTGCTATGCCATGACACTGGCCCCATATGAAGTGTCTTTAGCCACTATTTTATTTGAGTCGCATTACAGCTGTGTTTTTTCCAGGTGTCATTCTTTGAAAAGTGCAGAAACTTTAGCCTTAAAAGTTAATTGACCTGTTCAGAGTCTCCATACTTAGACATACATAGTACATTATGAACTGGAACTACTTTTGTACTCTAAATTCACTATTTTGTTTTTGCACCATACTCCTAATATTATTGACAATATTTTGCTTTTTTTAAGTTAAAGAATGTTTATTTTCATTTTACTTGAAAAACAGAAACAGGGAGAGAGAGAAAGAGATGGAGAGAGATCTTCTAGTTGCTGGAGAGAGAGTGAGAGAGAGGGAGAGAGAGAGATGGAGAGAGATCTTCTATTTGCTGGTTCACTCCCAAATTCCTGAAACGCCAGGGCTGGGCCAGGCTGAATCCAGGGCTCACTCTGGGACTCCCCCTAGAGCCATCATCTGTTGTCTCCCTGGGTGCGTTAGCAGGAAGCCGAATCTGAAGCAGAGTAGCTGAGGCTCAAACTAGGCACTCCAGTGAGGGATGTGGGTTTCCCAAGCACAACTTAACTGCAGCACCAAATGCCCAGTCCTACAGTGTTTTAGATGTGATTGAACGATAGACAAAGTAGGCCTGGATTGTTAGAGATTGCCTCATCCTCAGTGATTTTTTAAAATTCCAAATTGTGCGCCCCCTCTGTTGGCTTCTCCATTTAAATAAGCAGGTCCATTTGGAGGGTCCAGTGGAGAAGGCAGATTGATTAGCTTGATTCATTTATGTGGTCAGCTGGTCCACAGTTTTTGAAGACATGATGTTATTTATCTTCTTAGAGATAGAGCTAGACATTGTGAGAACTGTTTAGATACTTTTTGAAGACTAAGCTAACAAATCCTCTTTCTCAAAAGAATGAAAGAAAGAATGTTGCGCTTTTCACTGGTTTTAAAAGCATTACATACTTGTAATAAATTCAATCAAAATGAGTACAGTAAAAAATGAATATAAAATGAAGACAAGCAGTATTAGATATATGCTGAAAGTTTGCTGCCGTAACAAACAGCACTTTTAAAACCCCTTGTAGGCTTTTTTCTTTCCTGAATAAAACTAGGACACACATATATTAGGATGTATGTATCTACACATGCATACTTGCCTAGTCAGTTAGTGATTGCAATAATTGGTTAACCAAGTGGGAGCAAAACAAAAAGAGTACTATGTAGTATTGTGTAACGACACATAAACATTGTTAGCATAACTGTAAAAATGAGAGCCAATTGTAAGTCCTTTCTTTGAACCTACTTTTTTACTTAATACAATGTGATTCTTTCTCAAAAACAGAATGATTATTTTTTCATCATTTTTCTTTTTTAAAAAAAGGTTTATTTATTTATTATTTGAAAGTCAGAGTTACACAGAGAGAGGAGAGGCAGAGGCAGAGGCAGAGAGAGAGAGAGAGGGCTTCCATCCTATGGTTCACTCCCCAATTGGCCGCAACGGCCAGAGTTGTGCTGATCTGAAGCCAGGAGCCAGGAGCTTCTTCCAGGTCTCCCACGTGGGTGCAGGGGCCCAAGGACTTGGGCCATCTTCCACTGCTTTCCCAGGCCATAGCAGAGAGCTGGATCGGAAGTAGAGCAGCCGGGTCTCAAACCGGTGCCCAAATGGGATGCTGGTGCTTCAGGCCAGGGTGTTAACCCGCTGTGCCACAGCACCGGCCCCATTTTTCAACATTTTAAAAAGAAGATAAGAATAAAGCTGTATAGATGATATGTTTGTAAGAAGTGTTTTCACCAAAAAAGCTTTCCTGTAGGAAGTTTGTGTTTTGGTCCACTTTTCTTTTACTGCCTGAAGATGTTCAAGGTTTAAGTATTAGTGGGCCACTGTGACATGTTTTGCCATTATTTGAGTTCCATCTTTATGGTTGCATTTTAATACTTTTCTTTAAAGCCCATTATTGTAAAACTTTTAAGCATAATCTATGAAATTGATCAGTCGTGTCTGTGCAAGGAATAGTTTTAGGTACTGATAAGACAGTGGTTGTAACAGAACAAACACTGCTACCCTCATGGAGCTTGCTATCACCAGTTGGATGAGTGGGGCGTATGTTTCAATATATTAGAAAGCAATTTTGTCCATGTAGCGCCTAGAATCATCTCATGTGCCAGTGGTAGGTTGCCTCCACATGGGAAACATTGCCCTCTAACAGTGTAAGGACACAAGAGGCCTTGTGGCTTGGGCAGTGGCAGAGCAGCACGTTGGTAACTTGGGCAGGGTTAGCAGAGGGAATGTTGGGGGATCGTCGGGGATGGAATGTATCTTTGACCCTCTGACATTCTTTCATTTTGTCTTTGAGTTTTAGAACATTACTCAGTATATGTGGAGATCTGTAGAATCATGAAACTTTAGTGCTGACAGAGGACTTTTAATTGTTGCTGCAGAGTTGTCTAATGAAGAAATGGGCCTAAGGAATGTTAGTGACAGAGATGCAATTAGAATTTAGCTTGCCCGGTTGCTGGGTCAATGTCCATTCCACAGCACTGCAGTCGCAGTGGTGCTGATTAGATGTTTGAGAGAAACGGAGAGGGTGGAATCAGCTGCAGGGGGGAAGTGGGGAAGCAGGAAGAAAGTTTGAGCTTGTAAGGGCTCCGATTATGAGTCATGGATAAAAGGAGCCAGTAAGGTGACAGTCCCCGTATTGAATCTACAGAGATTTTAACATTCCTCATGGATGTTTTTCTCTGTAGATGGATTTTCATTTTTATTTCTACTTTATGTGTTTTTTTTTAACAGATAAAAATACAGAAATAACTGACCCCCTGATGTTACAAAGATTTCACTAGGACATATCTAAAAATTTACAGGATTAAGAGTTAATGAACTTATTTGCTTTTGCATCACTTATTGTTCTTTTTCTTCTTTTCCAGAATTTTATAGAAGTGAAGTGATTAAGAATTCCTTGGTAAGTTTACTTTCTGGCAGGTGCATGTGACTAAGCCTATAACTCCCGTTTCAGAAAATTCACAGGGGTAAAATAAGTTGTCAATCAGCTCTGGTATTGTGAGGCTTATCAAAGTATCATTCTGCCCAGTTATTGTTAAATCACCATTGATTTTCTCATTGCTGTATCTCTAATACGTAGATCATGCCTGGCACATAGCATTTACTGAATGAATTGATAGTTCTTTGTTTAAAACTTTAATTTAAATCTCTTACAAACCTGGCTTTTGACTTACCAAATATCATAATAAGTGCTATGTTTGTTAAGATATAGTTCCTAAGAATTTCATGTGTAGGGCCTTTTATAGGGTAAATCCACTTGTTTCCCGACAGTGGCATTGCTCATTCAGCAAGCTGCAAGTATCCTGATTTTGATAATGTGTACACTGGATATTTGTGTAACTGGCTTAGTTTACTAGGCCATGTTGAAGAACAGAGCTTTATGGTAACAAAAATGTCCTTGTAATGGTCTAGGACCCTACTAGATTGGCTCCTGTCCACTCTTATGGCCTTGTCTGCTAACACTTTTTTCCTCCCATGGTGCCAGATGTATCTCCTCCTTTCAGTTCTTCAGACATGCTGAGCTCGTCTAGTTCCTTATGCCTGGAACACTTGTTTCCTCAGCTCTTCACTTGGCTGAAGATTGCCCTTGAAGTCTCACCTATGTCACTCCAGCAAGGCTTTCTACATCATTTTACCCAAAGTAGTTCCCTTTCCCCTCATCACTCTTTTTCAAAGTCACTTGGTTTATTTTCTTCAGAGCATTTATCACTATTGGAAACTCTTAAAGATGTTTTTTGAATTGTTAAAATTTGAGAGGCACAGAGACAGAGAAAGACAGAGATAGGGAGAGATCTTCCATCTGATGCTGGTTTACTCCCCAAATGCCCAGAATGGCCAGCACTGGACCATGCTGAAGCCAGGAACCTGGAACTCGCTCTGGGTCTCTCACAAAGGAGGCGGGGACCCAAGTCCTGGAGCCATCATCTTTTGCCTCCTAGGATGCGCACTAATAGGAAGCTGGAATTGGAAGTGAAGTCAAGACTGAATCACGTCACTCTGATACAGAACACGTTCCAAGCGCCGTCTTAACACCCACCCCTAGAAACTCTGGCTCTCATGTGCTTAGTAGCTGTCTTCCATCTACTAGAACATTAGTTCTATGAGAGCAGGGACCTTGCCAGTCTTGTTCACCATTGTAACCTTGGAGTCTAGATTACGATAGATGTTCAGTGACTACTTGTTAAATGAATTAATGAGAATCAGTGGTGTGTTATATTTACAGAATCCTTTTTATATATGTCACCCCATTTTGACCATCAGAACAACTGTAAGGTCCATGGTGCTGGCAGATCTGTTGTTTGCATGTTTGTTTTTAAGATTTATTTATTTATTTGGAAGTCAGAGTTATAGGGAGAAAGAGAGAAATAAAGAGATATCTTCCATCTGCTGGTTCACTCCTTAGATGGCCAGAACTGCCAGGGCTGAGACAGGCCAAAACTAGGAGTCAGGAGCTTCATGCAGGTCTCCCACATAGGAAGCAGGGGCCCAAACTCTTAGGCATTCCTCTGCTGCTTTTCCCAGGCCATCAGCAGGGAGCTGAATTGGAAGTGGAACAGCTGGTTCACAAACTGACTCCCATATTCTCATATGGGAATATGCTGGCATTGCAGGCGGTGGCTTTACCTGCTGTGTCACAGTGCCAGCCCTGATGGGGCAGATATTAAGAAACTGATACCCGGGGCAGATGTTTGGCACAGCGGTTAAGTCACTGCTTGGGCTGCCCTCATCCTGTAATGGAGTGCCTGGTTTGTATCCTGGCTCCTCGGCTTCTGATCCAGCTTCCTGCTAAAGTGTACCCTGGGAGGCAGCAGATGATAGCTCTAGTACTTGGGTTGCTGCCACCCAGGTTTGAGCCTGGATTGAGTTCTAGGCTCTTGGCTTCAGCGTGGCCCATTCGTGGCTGTTGTAGGCATTTGGAGAATGAACCAGCAGATGGAATTGTTTTCTCTGTCTCTCCCTCTCTGCCTTTCAGATAAAATGAAGAAGAAGAAAACAAAAATCCTAGAGTGTGCCAACGACTTGCAGAATCAGTCACAGAACTCTAGACCAGACCTGCCTTCAAGTCTCTGCTACTCTTTTCTCCTCATCCAGCTGTCTTCTAGATGTCCCTAAACTATCATAACAGATTTTGGATCTTAGGACAGATTCCTTGAGTCCATCTCTGGGGAGATCCAATCACTGGTAAAGCTCTGATTCCACATACGCTAAGTGATACACGTTAAACGTCTAGGACCCTGCTTGACTTTTAGTAGCTACTGAGTAATTACTAATTTTCCTTCTCTTCTGGCTCAAGTGAAAACAGATCTTCTGCAGACAGTTGGGAGCTTTGGATGATTAGGGGACAAAGAGTGTAGAGTTTTGCCTTGATGTATCCTCTTTGTCAGACAGTTCTCTTGTTGGGCATGGTTTTACAACATCCCATTGCCTTTCCCTTCATTTGTATAATAATGGGTCCCATGCCATAGTGGTAGTTGAGTGTGTTATCATCTTCTTCTTTTTTTATTTTTAGTTTTTAAAGATTTATTTATTTATTTGAAAGGGAGAGAGAAGGAAAGACAAAGAGAGAGAGAGAGATCTTCCATCTGTTGGTTCACTCCCCAAATGGCTGCAACGGCCAGGCTGAGCCAGGCTGAAGCTAGTAGCCCAGATCCTCTTGGGCCTCCCACATGGGTGCAGGGGTCCAGGGACTTGGGCCACCCTGTCCTGCTTTCCCAGGAGCATCAGCAGGAAGCTGTATTGGAAGTGGAGCAGCCAGGACTCAAACTGGCACCCATATAGGATGCCAGCATTGCAGGAGGTGGCCTTACCCACTATACAACAATGCCCACCCTGAGTGTGTTGTTTTATAGTTATTATATTTCTTGGCTATTTATTTGATTTTCAAATCCAGATTTTGTATCTCTGAATATTAGCTGCCATTTTCAGCTGTGTTTGGCTCCCATCTTCGGTTGCTCTGGAACTATCTGTGAGGTTGTGACACCTCCATCCCTGATACACTCAGGTTGAATACTGTCTCCAAAGGAATTGTAGGATGGATGTGAGACAAGAAAGAGGATTGGACTAGACGACTTCTAAGTCCCTCTCAAGTCACAGTGTGTGCTGTGCAGTAATTGTTTCCTGAATATATCAGTTAGAACGTCAGCTTGCATTGTAATTGTGAGCATTCTGTCTCCCAAAGGTGAGAGCCCCTGCGGGTCACAGACTACCATCTTTGTCCCCTTGGTTCCCAGCCTATTTCTATAGAGTAGCTATTGGATAAACATTGCTTCATTGATGTCCTTTAAAGGGTATTCTGTTTTAATGTGGTTCTATCAACTTTAATTCATTTATTCTTTTCGAGGGAACTCGTCTGTCTTAGCCATGTGCTGATTGTGACTGATTTAGCTGAATGGGCAGCGGGCACCACAGGCACCAACCATCCTCAGAGAAAGTGCCAGAGATGGTACATTGTTTCCTCCCTTCTTGCTGTCTTTGAAGAAGCACTGCTGGGCCTAAGATAGCAGAATTTGTTGGTTTCTTTTCTTGCTTGGGATTTTTAAGCTATTATGATGTTGGCTGAATAGAATTAGTGATTTAAATGCTTTTATTCCCTACTGATTACCATTGTGGTTGACACAGTGAAGGTGTTCAGCAAATATTTCTTTTTCTTTCTTTTTTTTTAAAGATTTATTTAATTATTTGAAAGAGTTACACATAGGAAGTGCAGCAGCCGGGACTCGAACTGCTATGCCACAGCGCCAGCCCCAGCAAATATTTCTTGAATAAATTAATTCTTCCATAAATATATTTATTGACTGACTCAAAATGTCCTGAAATGTTAACTCTTTATTAGCTGTTAAAGAATTAGGCAAAGATACAAATACTTTATTTTCAGCCAAGGCTTTGAGTAAATTTTTCACTTTGGTGAATTATGTTGGACTCTGATGAACTAGTGAGCATCCTTTTTTCTTCAAATAGCTTTAGAGTGGAGACTGTTTCCTGGTTCTATTTTTAATATTCCTTTTCATCTGTTTGAAAGGTAGAGTGACCAGGGTTCCTGGGGGAGAGCATGATCTTCTATCCTCTAGTTTACTCCTGAAATGCCTACAGCACACAGGATTGGGCCATGATGAAGCTAGGAGCCCAGAACTCAATTTGAGTCTCTAGTGTGTGTGGCAGGGACCCTAGTGTTCAGATTATCACCTGCTTCCTCTGAGGCCACATTGCACATATGTGGGTGGTGGGGCCCGAAGTATCTGAGTCACCCTTTGTACCTCCTCTGGCGTGCAGGTAGCAGGAAGCTGGATTGGAAGCATAGTGACCAGGACTCACACTGGCGTGCATGTAGCAGGAAGCTGGATTGGAAGCACAGTGACCAGGACTCGAGCTGGGCGCTTCAGTATCCCAAGCAGCGATTTAGATGCCGTGCCACCTGCCCACCGCTACTGCGGTGTTCTTTTGTTTTTAATTTAATTTTTAATGTTTGATTATTTTCATTTATTTGAAAGGCTGAGTGATACATAGAGACAGATAAAAACAGATTCAGAGATCTTCGATCTGCTGATTCGCTCCCCAAATGGCCCCAACAGCCAGAGCTGGGCCAGATTGAAGCCAGGAGCCAGGAACTCCATCTAGGTCTACCATGTGGGTGGCTATAAACAGTATTCCCCCCACCCCAAATTAGTTAAATTGTCTCATTTTTTTTATCATCTATGGACAGGGATAGTGAGAGAGAAAGACAGAAAGAAAGGTCTTCCTTTTTGCCGTTGGTTCACCCTCCAATGGCCGCCACAGCTGGCGTGCTGCGGCCGGCGCACTGCACTGATCCGAAGGCAGGAGCCAGGTACTTCTCCTGGTCTCCCATGGGGTGCAGGGCCCAAGCACTTGGGCCATCCTCCAATGCCCTCCCAGGCCACAGCA